TCATTTGTGTAACGCAAATAACTTCAAGAGCTAAGTAGGTTAGAAAAATCTTTAAGGTCCAACTTAGAATTTTGCACAAACTTTAGAGACCATTTGTAAAACTAGTAGTAAACATGTGCGCTCCGCATCTTATGTATCTAATAAATAATATGCATAATATTATATCTACATATATATATATGGCTGTCTGTGGGTCGGTTCGATTCTGTTCTGAAGAGAATCGAACCAATCCAAAACTCTCGAATATTTAATAAATGGAATCGTCGGGTCCAAATATAATTATGGAACCGTTCGGGTCGGTTCAATTCCATTCGGTTCCGTACCATAATTAAATTTTTTAATATTTACCGCAACACTATATAAATACAACTAATGACATTTCATTCGTAACTTTTACAAATTAACGTAGTCCAATACAAAAACATATAAATAACTAGTCATCCAATAAGATTAATTCAATGCATACAAATACCAAAAAGTAGATATTAATATTACAGCAACACTACATAAAGTATATAAGTAAATTACACCCACACCTGTTATTAGATATCCATTTTCATAATTCCTGATTTAAATTTGATATTTCACTAATCAGGTTTTTAAGGGATTAAAAAAATATTTTTTATTTTTATTTTTATATTTATCTACAATAAATTAATTTATATATACCCCCACCATTTGTAGCCCTAACCCTAAAATCATTAACCGATATCCTTCATCCCGACTCTCTTCTCCACCACGCCACTCTTTCCCGTCGCCGTCTCTCCTCCTTGTCAAACCTCCATTGCCGTTCTTCCCCGTCGCCGCCTCTCCTCCCTTTCAAACCTCGAAGCGGCGCCGTTCTTCCCCGTCTCACCCATCCTCCATTGCCATTCTTCCCCGTCGTTGTCTCTCCTCCCTGTCAAACCTCGAAGCGGCGACGATGCGCCGTCTCCTCTCCTTTCCTCCCGTTCTCTCCTCCCCTTCTCTGTGAAGCCGCAAGTGGTGGAGGGGTGTTTGTCCATGCAGATCCCTTTTTTGCGAGCAGATCTTTTTTTTTTTTT